TTTGATTCTAACCCTCCCTGGTTAATTCATGAAATGACATCCCCACCTCCTGCTAGCTTCAGTTTCCTCCTATGTCAGGTGAAAAGGTGAGACTTCATGATGTCAAAGGTCATGACCAAGTGGTACCCCAGAGCCCAGTGGTTAAGGACCCAGGACCCAGGACTCTAGAGTCCACCCTTGCATGGCTGTGCAACCTTGGTCAAGTCACTTGATATTTCTGAGCCGAAGTTCTCCATCTGTGAAGTGAGGGAAGGTCCCTCCCTTATCTCATTGGATGATTGGGGAGGGCCAGGTGAGGTGAGGCCAGACTCACATGGATTGCTCAGCCCGGGGGAGCTGGAACCCTTCATTGGTACTGGGCCGTGATTTGGGGATTTTGCGTACAATTAAAGCATATCGAGTATGCTTTTTGTCATCTCAAAGTCTCTGCAAATACAATAGTCTCATTATCTTTGGACCAATTAGGAAAACAGTGAAATAAGAAAAATATTTAGCATGATTAAATCATTACTATTATCTAGTGTCTGAGATATCTAGTGTTGCTGTAACAGAAATACCATAAGTGGCTGACTTTAACAAACAGAAATATATTTTCTCACAGTTTAGCAGACTAGAAGTCCGAATTCAGGGCCCCAGCTGTAGGGAAAGGCTTTCTCTGTCACTCTGGAGGAAGAATCCTTGTCTCTTTTTGAGTTTCTGCTCCTGGGTGATCTTCATGAGGCTCGGCATCTCTCTTCCTCCGTCTCTGGTTACTGACTGACTTGTTTAATCCCTACACTAACCTTGTCTCATTAACATAACAAAGACAGCTCAAATGGGATTATAACTACAGGCATAGAGGTTAGGATTTACTACATATTTTGGGGGGGCACAATTCAATCCATAACAGCTAGTACTGTATAAAGTGCTCAGCGCAATGCCGGGCACACGACGTCAGCTACTATCATTATTACTCCTACTATTATTATTATTATTTCAAGGGATTGAGAGCAGTTGGAATTAGGAGAATGACGGGTTGCTATGACAATGGTAAACTGGGTCCCTCCTCATCCCTGCCTGGGTCTATCCCTGCCCTTGTGCAATCTCTGTCCTCAATCTGTAGAGGGTCACCGATGAAGAAACCAGGCTTACAGCTGTATAATGAGCTACTTGTTCTGCAGAGTCAGGCAGGAGATGGTCAGGGAAGGCTTCCTGGAGGAAGTGGCATTGGAGGGCAGAGAAGTACAGGCATGTGTATTCTACGGCCTGGGACAGCCTCCTAGGCAGCGGCCATGTGTGCGATGAGATGAGAAGCCGAGTTCCAGGATTACAGCATCCCTCTCTGACTAAGAGCTTTCCTCATTGATGTTTTGTGGACAGCACAGTCTCCAGGCCCCCACTGCAGTGAAGCCCCTCAGCTCTGGGCTGTGACCTGCACTGTGACCTCATGGCTAGGTACTCTGAGCCTAGAACCAGGTGCTGGGCTTTGTCCCCTCGGCTCACAGAGCCCTCTGTCCCTTTACAGAACCACGATGGGCTGCCCTCTGTGACGCGCCCTGTGAGGTCACTGACAAGCGTGGTTACCTGGGATACAGCGTTCAGGGAGTCAGCGTGGGAGAGGGAGCAGGGACAAATGCAGGAGCCTTTCAGTGCTTCCTAACTCTTAGGGACCTGCGTGGCCTGGCCGGGGGCCTGGGGGTCTTTCTCAGAGGCATCCGGCTTGGAGCAAGGCATGGCTCCCCTTGCTGAGGACCACCTGCCCGAGTCCCCCCCAGCCAGCCCTCAATGGCAGCCACTGCTTTCCCACCACTTGGGCCCACATCCTTGCTCAGCAGAGCCTCTCAGCTCCTGAGCTGCCAGAAGGTAGGTGTGGCTGGGGAGCAGGTGTGGGCAGCCTGGCACTTCCCTTCCCTGAGCCGCCCGTATCCTTCTCTGCAAATCCTGGAATTGGATGTTTGGGTAGAGCTGTCATTCAGTGGCCAGGACTTTCAGGATCTTGAGGTTGCTGGGTTGAGGGTCACAGTATCGAATTTCTGCAGCGACAGTCGGCCTGGGGAACACCAGTAAGGCCACCTTCCACTCCCGATGGTTTTATTCACAGCTGCCAAAAGCCTGGGGCTGTGATGTGATTACCTGCCCACTCTGCTCCAGACAGCTGGTGCATGGTCCCTCCTGCAGGCGGCCCAGGCTGGCGGCAGGGTCTCTGCACCCTGCTTCGCTGCAGTGTTGGCAGCAAAGCCTGTTTCTGTCCCCAGGTCCAGCGCCTGCCCCCATAACGTCCTTCTCCCCAGCCTGACTGACACCACCCCCAAGGGCCCGAAGGTTACCAACTGCAGGTCGCTGGTCTGGCTGCCAGAAGTGTCCCCCCACCCCACACCCAAGGCCCTGTAAGGAGGTGATGTTGACAAGAGGTTTTCACATCACGCTCGGGACCCCCCAGCCAACTGGAACCCCATCATCGTTCAGTCAGCAAGTATAATGCCAGGAACCCCAGGGTCACCTGATCCTGCCAACTCTGCAGAAGGGGAGGCCAAATCCCTGTGAGGCTCTGGAAAGGAAGTTGGAATAGAAGGTAAAGAGCAGCTGGGAGGAGCAGGGGTGTTGCGGAAACCCTGAATTTTCGAGCTGGGTTGACCCCAGTTTGAATCTTATGTGGATCCTCCCCGCTTCCAAGCCTTAATTTCCTCAGCTGCAAAGAGCCCTTGCCAGGGTTACAGTGAGGTGACCCATGAAAGCACCCAGCAGCTGACACAGGAGTCACTCAGGAGGGACTTGGCTTTGAGGGAGAAAGTTTATCGATTTGGTTGAAATCCTAACAGCTCACACTTTGTAAGCACCTACTATGTGCCAGTCGCTACTGTAAGCATTCTATACACATTAGCTCTTTTTATCCTCACAACAACCCTAAGAGGTAGGAACTATGAACCCCATTCCGTATTTGAGGAGACTGAGGCAGAGAGAGGTTTATTTGCACTGTGCAATTTCCTCTGCTGGGCGGGTTGCCTTTGCAGAGAGAGAGGAGCCTGTATGCATGCATGTGTGCATGTGTGCACGTGTGTGTACATGTGTGTGCATGTGTGTGCATGCATGTGCACGTGTGTGCGCGCGTGTGTGCATGTGTGTGCGTGCGTGTGCATGTGCGCGTGTGTGCGTGTGTGTGCATGTGTGTGCATGTGTGTGAGTTCACCTGGTCTAAACCACAGCCCCAAGAGGAGCAGGGCTTGCCCTGGTCAAGCAGTGGGCAGTGGCAAGGCTGGGGACTCCCCAGGGCCATCTGTGGCCGTTGCTGCTGTTGGTCCTGTGCTTAGGGAACTGGTAATTTACGGGCAAGTGTTTCTCCTTTTGGGAAGGCCTCCACTTCAGGGAGAAAGTGACTGCCCTCCAGGGTGACGGCGGTAGGGGCCCCAAGCCCCAGGCAATGTGCCTGGTGGCACATCGCCCCCGTTGGACATGCTCCCAGAGCTGTTGTTGTGGACTAGAGCCTGCCTGAGGCCTGCCCAGCTGGATGCTGCTCCTCTGCAGCGTACCAAGCAAGGCCCAGGCTTCCTTTGCCCTCGGAGGGAGGAGTGCTCTGACACTGGCCCCCAGGATCAGAACACACAGGCCCCACTTGACTTCCCAACGCTGGCAGCCAGGGGTGATCCCCCTGCCATTTAGCAAGTGGCTAAAAGAGTTGACCTTGTCCTGGGCTCCAGGCCTGACTGTCACTTGCTCACTGGGTAACCTTGGGCCAGGTCATAGCTTCTTTATAAGCCTCAGTTTTCTCATCTGTAAAATGGGGGAAGGAGTGCCTATCTCCCAGGGGGATTGTAAGGAGCAGAGACAATAGGGAGTAGAAGAACCTCTGGCAAACTGTCAAGTCTGCGGCAAGTGGCTTGGGTTAGGCTTGGACTTAGTGGGGCTGGCCCAAGTGAACCCTAGCCTGGCCCCAACCCCTAGATGGTCACAATCTGGCAAAGGAAGCCGTACACACACGTGTGCACATTGTCACGTTGCGTGTATTACCATCAGCCAGTGAGCATCTCTTTCATCGGTCTGTTTTGTTTTACATTTTACCAAGCATCTCCCAGGCCATTAGCATCCCCAGCCTCCCCCCACTCTTAGGATTCACTTGGGGAGCCAGTTAACAGTACAGATTCCTGCCCTCCCCCCCATGAAGATTCAGTTGGTAGGTCTGGAGTGGGCCCAGGAGTCTGCATTTTTAGACAGTGTCCCAGGTGATATTCAGAGACACGTGGAAAACTTGATCATCCACGAGCTCCTCCCAAGAGCCCCGAGACTTCAGCAGGGACCATTTTAAAGATGAGGAAACTGAGGTTTCCCAAGGAGAGCTTTGGACTTTGTCCAAAGTTGCACATCTCTGAATGAGAGTCAGCCTTCTGAGAGCCCAGTGCCTGGTGAATGGTGGGGCGGCGCAGGCTGGAGGTGGCAAGGAGAATCTGGGGTGGACAGGAAGGGCTTCCAGGAGGCAGTGACACTTGGGCCATGTCTTCAAGGTGGGTAGGATCCACCTAGACAGAGAGCCCACAAGCAAAACACAGGGTTGAGCAGGGAGGCCCCAGGACTCACGCAGGGCAAGAGGAGAAGGGGCAGATAAGGGTGAGGGGCCCGGATTTAAGGTGGAGAAATGTAGAGATCATTCTCCAGGCAGCTGGGAGCCACTGATAGTTCTTGAGCTGGGGCTGACACAGCAGGTGGTGGGAGCAGAGGGCAGGATGTGTCTCCAAGGAAGTGTCCAATGGTTGGGGTGGGCTTGTCTTGAGACGCAGCACAAGTGGCCGGCTATAAGAAGGCAGCACTGTGTCCCCAGCACTGAGCCTGTGGCAGGCGGGCACCATCAATGCCTACGTGGCATTGCAATGAAATGTTAAGGGAGGCAGAGAATGTCTGGGGGTTCAAAAACCCCTTTGCTCTGGGAGATGGCCTTCACCTGTAGGAAGAGCACAGCTGAGCAATGTAGTCCTCTCTTGAGCCTGCCCCCGACCCCTGGTGTGGATTTTAACACTGAATTTTTCTTCTAGCTGAGCAGTAGCTGCTGTTAGTCACCATCTTGTAGTGCTGGAAGTTGCTGTCGCCGCTGCACCAACATCTGCAACCTGACAGAATTAGATATGAATCCGGTCCACCCAGGTTTGGAACAAGAGCTTTAACTTTCAGCCTCTGGCACCCACTGTGTCTCACAGGGTTAGGGTTGTTGGGAATATCCCCACCGTCTACCACCTCCTCTGGGCCTCAGTTTCCTCATCTGTGACACGAGTTCCCCCAGCTCTGAGGGCCCATCTAGGGAAGAGGCTGGTATAGCATGGATTTGCTGTGGGTCCAGGGCCTTGGTTTCCTCATCTATAAAATGGACTTGAAATCTGGACACACAAAGACCTCTAAACCCCATTTTGAGTCTTTAACTTTGTGCAGGATACAGCGGGGTTTCCCCAGCCCTTGGCAAACCCTGAAAGGGCCAGGGAAAATTCACTCCAAAGTCCTTTTTGGAAGATGCTCAGGGAACACTTTAAGAAAATTGATTTTCCTAAAGATTTGAGGAGTCCCTGGGCGATGCAAATCATTAACACACTCAGCTGCTAACCAAAAGGTTGGAGGCTCAAACCTACCCAGAGGCACCTCGGAAGAAAGATCTGGTGATCTACTTCCAGAAAATCCGCCACTGAAAATCCTTTGGAGCACAGCTCTACTCTGACACATTGACTCGAAGGCAACTGGTTTAAAGATAGCCTCAAAAAAACGGCAGAGCTTGTAGAGTTGTGAACATTTTTGTGGAAACTATGCTGAAATGCTGGGAACACGTCCCTTCTTTCTTCAGCAGAGGATGCGGCCCACCCTTCCTCTCTCTGTCGGTATTCTGCCATCTGCCATTGTTCTTTGCTCTTGAGATGTGAGGGCTCTTTGTCCCAAGGCTGGGCATCCCCAGAGCCCTAAACATTCAGTGCGACACAATACTTACTGTGCCAGGACCTGTTCTAGGTGTCAGGAAACAACTGAATAATACACAGTTCTTGCCCACAAGCTTGTCCCAGATAGTTACAGCATGGGCTGGGGTGGAGGTGGCCTGGCTGCGGAGCCTGGAAGGCTCTGTGAGCGCTTGAGGCAGTCGACCAGAGGCTGGCCCCCAGGTGAGGTTTAAAGATTGCCTGTGAGTTACTTGGGAAGGGCTCACCAAGGGAATAGCGTGAGCAAAGGTGTGGAGGCCTGAGAAAGCCTGGAGAATCTGTGGTTCAGAAATCCCTGGGGGGTCTTGGGTGGGTTCTGGATGCTGGAGGGTACCAGAAACCCAGCCTCCACATAAGTGGAGCAAAATTCCAAGCAACAAACCACTTTGCTCTGGGACAAACATGGTACACCTTGGGCACCAGTGGCAGACATTGCTAGTCGATGTCCACCTGTTACCTTGGGCACCAGAGGCAGACATTATTGGTCAATTACTACCTCTGTCTTACTAAATCCCTAGCTGTTTCATTTCACTGGCACCAAACTCTCACTGAGCTAAATTTCTGAGAGAGTGTGAGGTAAGGGTGGAGCTAGGAAGGAGTAAGAAGGTCCTTCCTCTTTGAGGAGAAACATGTTTAAAAGAGGAACAACTGGGATATGGAGGTTGTTTACATTTAATAAGCTAGGAGTTTTTACACACTTTAGACTGGATATTTATGCCCGTTTTACAGATGATAACACTGAGGCTGCACAAAGCCACATTGCAAAGAATGCCCTGACTAGTTTCCATGACACAGTTGGTGTGACTGGGCTCTGGGTGGCATTGAGCCACAGGCACACTTAGCTGACTGACCTTGTCCCTAAGGGCCCGTCTGCTTCCAGTTTGTATAGAGCAAGGGCAGGGCTCTGTGTTTGCTTTTCACAGGCAGCAGAGGAGGGCCACTTCAGAGGGCTTACAGCTGGAAGGGGAAGCTTGAGGAAATGGAAACCAAACCTTTCTTTCTTTGTTGTTGTCTCTTTTTCTTTTTTTTTTGAGGCCTCCAGAAATAATCCTGGGTTCTACAGCGCCCAGGATCATGGTTGACCTCACCCACCCCCACTTCCGGCAAAACCAGGCTGCCTGCGGTGGGGTGAGGGGGCTGTCAGAGCGGCAGGGAAACTGAGAGGAGTGACAAGCCAGTCGCCAGTGACTCAGTGCAGGGAGGCCGCTGCCTGCTGACTCACCCGCTCCCTCTGAGGCTGGGCCCCACCAGCCACTGACTGGAGCAGGCCCGGGTGTGGGGAAGGGGATGGCGAAGGGGCTTCACTGACCCCCCAACCCTTTATTCCAGCCGCCATGCCCTAGAGCAGGGCCAGGCTGCAGTCTGACTGCTGTGCTGTCACTGGCCCCCAAACAACAGGAAAACAAAACCAAATTCTCAACGGGATGAGCCAACGGTGTGTCCAGGGAAGACACAGATGACTCGCAGGTCAGGTGCCAGGTGTTCCTGAGCCCCCGTGTGCAGCATCAACAGACATGTGATTAGGGGCTCTGCCACCTGTGCATGAAAGCAGGCCCTTGCATGTCCACTGCAGACACCCTGGCACTCCTCCTCCTCCTCCTCCGCCTTTTGCTCAGCTACATGTGTGCTGGGAATTGACCGAGCAGTCTTTGGGGTCCGAGCCCACAGATAGGATCCGTGAGGCTTAACTGTTCCCTTCCCCTGGATTGTCACCTTCCTTCATGAATCTGATTCCAACCAGGCTATGAGGCACCTTCTCAGAGCCTTTCTCTGTGCCCTTGGCCAGACGTGGCACTCTGTCCTGCCTCTGAACGTGTAGAATAATTCTTATGTTGCTTTACAACAAGCACCTCCCACCTGTCGCTGGATGTTAGCGCAATGAGGGCGGAAGGGTGACCTTGTGTTCCCAGCAGTGTCCCTGGGCCGGGCATGTAGTAGGTGCTCAGGGGGTGCTGCAGGAGCGCAGGGCAGGTGACAGTGGAGGCTTTTCCTCCCATGTCCACATCCATAGGGAGTCTTGCCTCAGGTCAATATCAGCTCAGAGAGGGAAGGTGACTTGTCCAAGGTCACATAGTATTGAAGGGCGACCCTGTCCTTTCCAAAGCCACGGGCTTGATGCACTGGGGAGGGGGTCTATGCTCAACACTCAGGGACGGTTTCTTCTCTGTGTCACCAGTGTTATCAGCCCTTGGCCTCGGGGAAGGAATTCAGCCACCTGTCCTGGGCTGGTCCCTAATTACAGAAAAAGACACCGCCTCCAGCCCGTCCTAGACGTGTTTTGCTAATGATGACAGCTCCAGGGTGTTGGGGTTCAGACTCAGGCTGTACAGGTCAGCCCCTACCAGAAAGTTGCAACTGCTTACAGGAAAGGGCCTAACTTAGGCAACTTCTGCCTCTCCCAGAGTGGAGGGGAATTTGGGCGGGCAGTCACAGACAGGCTGGGGCTTCTGCCGTCTGCGGGACAACATCCAGGGTCTAACCATGACCTCCCAGGCCTCACCTCCTCTCTCTGCCCCACACTGGCCTTCTCTCTGTTCCTTTAATGTGCCCAGCGTGACCCTCTTTGTACACACTGTTCCCAGTTCTTAGAACACTCTTCCCCCAGATCTCTGCCAGGCAGATCGCAGCTTCAGTGCTGTTGAAAGCACGGACCTGGGGCCGAATGTGTGGGTTTGAATCTCAGCTGTGTGACCTTGGTTAAGGGGCTTCCCCTCTCTGGGCCTCATTGTGTTATGCGTGGAAAGGGCTTAGCGCAGTGTCTGGCCCACAGAGAGTCCTCAGCAAGTGTCTGCTGTTAGGTGAAAGCAACCCCAACACCGTCATACGCACGTCTGCTTGCTTTGTTGTTTCCTATGTGCTTGTCAAGGAATCCTGGTGGTCCAGTGGTTAAGCACTCGGCTGCTAATCAGAAGGTCTGTGGTTCTAACCCACCAGCCGCTCTGAGGGAGAAAAGACCTGGTGATCTGCTCTTGTAAAGACTGCAGCCTTGGAAACCCTCTAGGGCAGTTCTACTCTGTTCTATATAGAATCTACTCATTGACACACAGCAGCTACAACGACACGTGCTTGTCACCGTCGGAAGTATTCATTCATTTGCCTATTTTGTGTCTGTCTCCCTTCTGGAATGTCAGCTCCTTAGGACTCTCCTCTGGGCCCCTAGTTCCTAGTGCAGTGCTGGCACACAGACAGTAGGGTAGGTTCTCAGTAAGTCTTTAGTGGATAGTCACGGCTTGCCACAGTTCACCCTGCTCTCTTTTTCCACCTGACCAAGATGACATGCGGGGAAGTAGCCCGGCTCACGTGACCCAGCAGAGCCGTCGAGACCCACACTCTGACTCTCAGCCCACTGCCCTTTCCCCTGACTCAGTGGCCTGCTTGGCCATGCCTTAGAGTGTCTCTGTCCCCCAGCCCACCTTCACTTTACATGGGCAGTGCTGGCCATTCTATGCCTCTGCCCTTCCGTGCCTCACTGGGCCCAGCCCTGCAGAGCAGCCTCAGCTTTTGCCTCCATTACCCTTCCAGGGTGTCCACAGTTTGCAGGTCTGCGTCCTCCTCTCTGTTCTCATTTCCAGCCACTGGGGCTTTGGGGTCAGTCCTGCAACTTCGAAGGAGATAAGAAAACTATTTTGACCAGGGCCCCAGACCTTGTGTTTGCCTACAGAAGTTCTTGTGTTCTTGTGTGGAAAAGATGACAGGGTGGCTGTAGTTGGACCCTCAATCTTGCCCCTAAACCTCGAATTGTCCCAGAGGCCAGTTCTTCACAAAACCTGCCCACCCTCACCCACTCTTTCCTCTGCAAACCACAGACCAAGAAGTACTTCCTGTTCTGGCAGGTCCCGATCCAGAAGTCACCTTGGTGCAAATCCTGGCCCACCATCTCCTAGCTTTGTGACCTACAGCAAGACCTCCCCACCCTTCTCTGAGCCTAGGTTTCCTGATCTGTGGAAGGGGGAGTCGTGGGGAGAAATAGAAGCTTCTGTGGGCTGAGGGCTGACCAGGGGCAGCGATGCGAGGGGCCACCGTGGGCAGATGCCGGGCGTTCATGGGGTGGGAGGAGGCCGCTGGCTCGGGGCTGCAATTAGATAAGGAGATGAGAGGACCTTGCCCACAGACCCTGAACCCCAGGTAGATAACAAGCCCTGTCCCTAGAGATGTCATCCTGAGAACAATTCCCCAAACAGAATTCACTTTCACTGGGGCTAGAAGATTGTTATTCATTGTTTCGGCTTTGTTCCAGGCAAAACAATGCCTGGGTTCCTGGATGACCTCACTGGGAAGCGTGAGCAGGGCTGTGAGGCAGGCTCAGCAGCCGCTCCTGGGCAGCCTGTCTACCCTTCACTGCGCCACCTTAGGTGACCTGGAGCGAAGGTGTGACCAAAGAGGACAAACTGGCCCTAGGCCAAGGCCGCCCTCCCATATGTCTATGTTTGGTCCACCCAGCATCTTAAAAATTGGAAACTGTGTATGCACATCCAAATCTAGATTTCAACATCTCTTGAGAAATCAGAGGGTCTGGCCCCAGTGGGCCCCCATCCTACAGGGCAGCTAGTCGCTGGAGCTGAGGAGCGGCCGCCCCTCAGCTTACCAAAGTCCCCACTCCTCCCTGCTGCCTCCCGCCAGGCTCACTTCTCTTATGGCCTTTGCCCGCCAGGCCCTGGAAGCATTTGAGCTTGTCATGCTTGAGTTAACCTTTCCTCAAGAATAGATAGCCAAGCTAGAAAGATACTGGCCATATGCTCCAACCAAATTATTAAATCTTTTGAAGGTGAAATTTTTTATCAGGGGGAAAAAAAAACTTCTTTGGATTAACTTCTTTCTTTTCAAGAATAGCTACCCTAGTTAGAGTGTGAAACAATACTCTTAACTCACAACTTACATTTTATTTTTTGCCCCAGTACTTAATTGTTACCTGGGTGGTGGAAATGGTTTGCACTTGACTGCTAACTGAAAGGTAGGTGGTTTGAATCCACCCAGCAGTGCTTCAGAAGAAAGACCTGATGATCTACTTCCATAAAATTACAGCCATTGAAAACCTTATGGAGCACAGTTCTACTCTGAAACAGGTGGGGTCGCCAGGAGTCGGTGTCGACGGCAATGGGTTTTGGTTTTTTTGGTAATTGTTACCTCCTGCACTGAGGGTTGGTGCGTGAGTAGCATGCCTGTGCAGACATGAACTAGTTGATCCCAGCACTCCTCACTGAGCCTGTGCCTCACCTTGGAATCTGTGGACACGGTGCTTGAAGGAGCCCCTTCAAATCTACCAGGAAGTCTGGAGATGCCCCTGTTTGCTAGAGGAAGGCTCCTGTCTGTAGTGGCAACTGTGCTACCTGAGTCTATGCTGTTTAATCGGCACAAAGGCCTTCACTGCCCGCCCACCTTGTCCCTGTGGCCCTGGGCCCTGCCTGCTCCCCAGGAATCCTGCCTGGCCTCCTGTCTCCATCATGTGGTCCTCACTTCCCTGTTTGCCTACTTCCCTAATTTGTCAGCCTGGCCTGAGGCTTGGGGATGACTTTTTAAAGGAGCCAGCCTCCATTTCACTTTGTGAGGTCACCAAAACAAGTGACCCAAGACAGCAGGGGATTGAGAATATGGACTTTGAAGGATGAGACAGGCCTGGAAGCCCATCACAGCTCAAGAGGCCTTTTACTCGCTGTGTGGCCCTCGTCAAGTGACTTCACCCCTCTGTGCCTTGGTTTCCTCATCAGCAAAATGGGGTGGCAACAGCACCCATGGAGACTAAGAAAATGCATGCAAAGTGCTTAGTACAGTGCTTGGCATGCAACAAGTGCTCAATAAATGCAGCTTTCTTATTTTTTTAAACAGGATACAATACCTGGCACACAGTGTAATAAAATTCCAATGTGGTCAGTTATTTTCTTCAATAATGGCTAATAATTTTGATCTCTTAGTATGCACTAGGCCCTGAGCTAAGCATTTTAAGACATCATTCTGTTTAATCCCAGTGCGATATTATTTTCATCCCCATTTTTCACCAGTGAGGAAACTGAGGGACAGAGAGGTTGTCACCTGCTCAGTCATGACCCCAGTGAGCCCAGAGTGAGAGGGCAGATGTCTTCTCCAGAAAGGGCAGGACAAGGGGTTTGGCCACTTGCTTGCTTCTGCAGTGATCCCAACAAGCTAGGGGCCACTCAGACCTCAAATTTATTTCCTCACCTGTGAAATGGGTCTGTCCTCTAGGTCTCCTCGTGACCTCCAGTTCTGGGATTTTGGAAGCCACTTGCCCAACCCACAAAACATCCTAAGATTTGCTGAGAAACAGTGAACTATAAAACCTTTCTTAGAGGCCTGCTCTGTGCTGTTGGAATAGGGGGAGCATTCCAGAAAGGAAAAAGACAAAGAAACTGCCCTACTGAAGAAAAAGGGTAGAAGGTCACAAGTGGTTAAGTCAGTGATAATAAGATTTCAATCTCTCCGTATGTGGTTCAACGAATCACTTTTATACGGCC